AAAAAAAAAAAAAAAAACCACTGCATGTATTTACTTACACTTTGACAACATGTAGATAGATAAAGGGCATCTTTGACTGTCTGACAATCCATAATCAAAAAATGCTTGCAGTGATATCCACAAACAGCAATTTCAGCATTTATTATAGAATGTATCATGTGGGAGTAAGTATGCAACATCTGTGGGTATATATGGTTATCTGCATCATTTAGTAATACATAATATCATAACAATATAATCCATACTGCATTTTTTGCAATGCATAATAAAATATTTATTGTGACCTGTTGTCTGATATGTAAGTAAATTTCACTAGCATTGTACTCCAGAGTGGTTAATCTGTTTGCTTACAATAGTTGCATTTTCAAGAATAACCAATAATTATTTAGATACAAAAGTATTTGCAATACACTTCTTAGTTTTGCCCATTTGTTTTAATTTATTTTACGTCAGGACAATTTCCTGCACACATCTGATAGTGTTGACATTTGCAGCCTTTCATGTGCAAAGCATGTTTGTACTTATGTTCTCTTATTATAGATTGGATGCCCATGCCTATGTGTACATCCTTTATTAGGCTAGCAGCAAAATGACTTCATAAATGGCCTTTTTAGGAATTGCAGATCTTATGTATGAAGCAGTATACCAAAACTACACCAAAGGCATTTTTGAATATCTTTAATAGAAACCTTTCTAAAAGAATCTGGCTAGTATTTACACTGAAGTAGTGGAGATGAGATCATTTTTGCTTTTAAAAAAAAGTACTATGACACAATCTTACATATTCATTTTTAAATCTGTAAATAACAAATAAGAGAAAGATTACAATGCTAAGTAACAGAAAAAACTGCTGTTTCTATGACTCAGGATAATAAAATTTGCATTTCTCCATTAGAACAGTACAACTTCATATGTTAAGAACTCATGATACCTATAAATGAAAACATCAGTATTTGTTAAGCAAAATATCAAATCCTGATATCAGCTTCAAATTTAAAATGTGGTTAACTTGAAAATATGAAATTCTCCAAATATGCAAACAAATTATTCTAACCGAAGAAGTGCATAGCGCACACACATAACACAGATTACTATTGACTACATTCATTTTTTAAGGAATTAACACTGAGGTGGAAGTGTAACTATGAATAAATAGAATATTAAACGTGCAGCAAATGCATTAAGAATGTAAATATGACCTTGGTATGCACAACTTGTGAAAATTTAATAAAATATTAAAATATTTGCAACTACATGCCAACCTATTTTTCAGAAAAGATACTGATATCTTTCTTCTCTTTTTCAGAAAATCTAGCAATAAAAGAGTATCAGAATTGGTTGAACTGAATTATAATTTAGACATATATTATCCAATGAATTTTGGAAAAACCTAGCAAAAGAACTAACATTCAAACAGCATAAATGAATAGGAGCAGTATTTGCATATTTACTTATTATTATATTTTAAGATATTCAAAACTGTCAAAAGCAACACATTTTATTGATCACAAGAATGAGATTTAGATTAAGTATGAATATTTTTCTAAAAATTTCATTTATTGAAATGATTGAATAAAAGTGATTTTAAAGTTCTGACAAATGTATAAAATATCAGAAAAATTGAAGAGAAAAAATACAGAGGGCTTTTAGATTTTCAAGGACATGTCATTTTTATTCATTATTAGCCCTTTTTCATATGAAATGATGAAAATAAGCAAATTATCAAAAGCTTTAGAAGAAAGACTAGCCTTCTGATGAACAATGGTCTGGGTTTGATTGCAGGCAAAATGGGTTGGCTGCATGGGCATTTTCATAGTTTCCCCATCTGTAATGCCGATGTGAGTGACTTTACCTTAAAATGTTCATCACAAAAACATCTCTCCACCTAGACAGCCATTGCATGCTTTGCCGTAAATGAATAAACCAAACTGATAAACAATGACATGCACAATCCTTAATCTTGAGATCAGTTCAGATTTTTTGTTTTGATAGAGAAAGTTGACCAATTTCATAATGGAAAAAAATTCCCTTATTGGGAGATCTAGAAACCCCAGTCTTAATCCTTTTGCTGCCTTTGTACTCGAGAACATTATAGTTACTAACATATTATAATACTGAAATGCATTAATTTTATGGGCAGAAATAACAAATGGTCACTTTAAGCATAACAGAAGTAGCAAACCCATTTCTAAAAGAAAAATTACAGATTAACAAAACACTCTCCAGCTTTTGACATTCACGCATTAATTCTGTCATAACATCTAAAATATTATTGTTGTACCATATTTGAGATAACGTTTCTTTAAATCACTTACCTTTCAGCTTAACAATATCTAATTATTTAGAAGATTTTTACCAGTTATTTAGGAATCTAATTACTTACAAGATATGTTTAAATTAATGTTATTTTTTATATTATGTGAATTTACATCATAATGAAGGTACCTTCTGAATTAAATTTTGAAAAACCATGACAAGACTTTTCAATATTGCTTGCATAATACAGAAAACACATGCATAAAAATGCTGCACCACAAAAACTAACCCACGCCAGCCCCTACATGTGCATGCACACATTACATTTGGGTTATGCAATATACAGACAGTCATGCTCACTATAATCATTCTACAGAAGCAAACAATACATAAACAAAAGTAAAAATTTTGACTTACAAGTAAATTCCTTTCCCAATATTTATTATCTGAATGCCAAATACTGTTGCTAAGGTTTAAACATTTCAGTTCATCTTCTAATTGTTTCACCTATTTAAATAAATAAGATCATAAACTGAAAATAAAATATTAATAAGACAGCAAATTTTGTACTTGTTAAAATGCATATGAATGCCAGTAAGAATGGTGCAAGAAACGTCCTTATACAAATTATGTATTTTTCTTCAACTGCGAGCAATTTCAATTTTGGAAAAAATTGATTGAGAACATTTATGAATTGTATTTTTTAAAATGGAAAATAACTGTGAAATAACTACCAGCTAAAATCAAAAACTTACTTTTACCAAGAATTGGAATCTCATGCAGTTTTTTTAAGAGCACAGTGATGCAGAGAAATACAACAGATATATGCAATGTATTTAAAGTTCTATTATACATTAAATTCATTTCACTATCTCTAATAATTACTACTGCAGTGAAAAATGTACTTAATATTATTAATTATGTAACAACAGCTTGTAAATTATTGTTCCCCCCCCTCCTTTTCAGAAAGTCAATAAATTCCTACTATAACTAATACGAAGTTTGCTTAGCTTCACAATGGTACGAAAACATCAGAACAAAAGTAGGAAATTTCTATGTTTTTAATCTATTCAATTCTGCATAAAGTGACTAAAAAATATTTTTTTTTATAGATACAAAGCTCACTAAAAGAGCTATAAAATACTTAATTTTCTGAAAGATACAGCAATCAACAACTAGAAATTCCAACCTGGATGAGTTCTGTGAAATTGTAGATCCTGGAGCAGTGTTGCTCTTTGACTTACACAGGAGCAGAGACTTGAGTTAACATTTCCATGGAGGAAAAATCAAATTCTTGAGATAATATTTTAGTTTAAATTACTCCTTTCTTTTGCTTGAGTGCGTGAAACTTGATTACATTAGAAACTAAGTACTCAGCATTTGTTTCTGAAATTGAAACTAGCATTTTATTCTTTTAGTCAATTTATTTACTTTTTTTTTTTTTTTTCATTTTGCACATTACTACACATTTTGATATTTTAATACAGGCAACCAGTTGTTATTGCATCTAAAGCATTAAGTACTTGCTGCCTATTTTATGGATCTAACATGTACAGTTAATGCCTGAGATTTTGCAGACTGTAATTTTTAAGAAACAAGTTTATTTATTACTTTTTGGGCTTACGAAATAAAGCAAATTTAAAAGAATATCTATAAGTCCATTTAAGGCAAGAAAATTTAATAAGCATTAATACCGGAGAATTAATTGCAATAGACGTTGTAATGCAGGCTAAATAAGAAAAAGTGTAAGGGACTTTCATTTTCATCTTCCGATATAGCTACTGCCAAAGTGACAGACCTATTTACCTTAAAACGCCTGATTGCATAGTAAAAGAATTTTTGTTTGCACTAATTATGAGAGCAGTATGTAAATGAATTTGTTAAGAATTAAGGATTTCAGAATGCACTGTACTTAACAGAATTAAGCACTACATCACACTGAGTTTAAATGCATTTACAGCCAAAAGTGAAAATGAGTAATTGATTAATTAACTAGCAGCAGCAGTCATGGGACAGGGAGGAAAGAAGAGGCAACAGAATGTGATGAAACACGAAAGGATGGATTTGATGATCTCTCACCCCTCTCCCTCTACTACTAAAGCATTCGAAATAATTTTCACTCCTCCAGGTTCCAGGTTCGGCCCCATTGCACAGAACCTATACATTAACACTCACTGATTTTTTTATTTTTTTTAAATTCAAACCCATGCCCACTTGATAACACAGCCAACATTGCTAACCACTATACCAATCACGGCAGCTGCAGTTATTTATGCATTTATAATTTAATTACATTTTATATGTTTGGATATTTAATTTCAACTGTATTTTGTTAAATAATATCCAGAAGCAAAACTACTTCATTATGAGCTTAATAATTTTTAAAAGAATTTGATATTATCATTTAAATTTTTTTTTATCCTTCTACATGGCAGACTATTCATATAGTTACATTAAGTAGAACACCTTCCCCATTTGCAAAGGGTTAACAGTTAAGTACAACTTACACACTGACAGTTAAAGCAAATGAACCCTGATAGTTTTGACTTTATCTCCAGAAAAATGGACTAGCTTCACATGCATTTTTATGGTATTAAGCATGTATTAACTGAATATAAGCCAATATTCAATGCAAAGAATTCTACAAAATATAATCCTCATATGGCAAGACATTAACTGACTAATAATGTAACATTTCCTTAATCATCTTGCTGTATGACACAGCATGCTACAGTATTCTTTACTACAGAGAAGAAAATGCATACACACACTCACAAATTAACTATCACCTCAAAATTAAGCAAATCATATTTTAAAAATGCAATAACTAAAAGCTGAAAGTTCGGTGTAATACACTTTGGGGTTCTCTAATAAATTAAAACAAGTCAAGTTTGAATTTTAGCAGTACATATGCATATGCATAGGGACAAAAGAGCAAAATCAATTTTAATTTCCTTTAATATTTTGATTCTAATTTTGGTATAACTTTGATAAAAATTTTCTTTTATGAATATGGCAAGCCAGCCACCAATATTACAATAGTGGTATTGTAAGTTATAATTTACAATAATATGTATTTCTCCCACAAAGTTTACTGCACATTATATGATTAGACAATAAAGCTATAAGAACATGAATTACGGCAATCAAAATGACATACACAGCCATAACGTGGCCACAACCCAGTTAAAAATCTGAAGAACACACTTGTGAGAACAGTGTTATTATCACTTACATTCTGTAATGCTTCAATACCTTGAGACAAAACTAAAAGCACTAGAAAACACAAATATTATACAATATCATTAAAAGACTTCAGTGATATATATATATATCACTTTCTTATATATATGTCTTGCATAATTCTGGTGATGTAAATGGAACTAAAACGCAAACAGCCAAGAGTAAATTTAGAGCAGTATTAATTACCCGATCAAATGCATTGAGAATCAAAACTAAGTCAGACTGAATTAAGATTTCACCCTAAACATAACACACTTGCTTTCTATGCTTTGGCCTGGCTGGACTGCAGTCTGTCTGCTTCTCTTTTCTTACTGCAAATTTATCAAAAATGTAAACTTTTGGAATACGCATAAATAAGATGCCAACTTGTTTGTGGCTGCAACATGCTTGCAGAAATAAAAGTTGAATATACCTTGATAGCCAAATTTCTTATTCATTGTGGATTGGAATTTCAACACCTTTAAGCCATGAAAATTTTCGCTGTTCATTATGGATTCTACTGCTTGTGTTCTACTACAGAATATATTACGTATATAAACACTGTTTTGCAAAAAAAATCGAAGCACCAACAAGGACTTTTGCGATTGTAACGAAATTTGGGATGCAAAAACATCTTGATCGAACATGCAAATGATCAAAGTTTTAAGGCAAATGAACAGGAATTGTGATCATAGTGCACATTTCTAGTGAACAATTCGCAAAGTATAAACCAGCAACAGAGCAAAATTTCTTTTTTTTGCTGCTGGTGTATTCATAAAGAGAAACTAAGATGCATATTTGTGAACGACGCACGCTCCGCTCTTGGGGAACGGATTGAGCCTCCAGACCGACAAGAATCGGAAAAGAAAGTTTGTTTTTTGAGAACTGGCAACGATAAGTGTATGCTTTTAGAACAGTGACGCAGTAGACTAATGACGCTGTTAGATATGTAGAACAATGATGCTAAGTAGTTAGAAGTGTTTTTTGATAGTGTAATGATTTAGATATTGTTCCTCTTTTGTGTCAAATGTCAAATAAAGTGATTCATACAAAATAGTGCCAATTTTAGATGAGTTTGAAACCAAATCGGAGTCTACAAAAGCGGCGGACCAGAATCGAAGAACGCGGATCATAAAGGTAAGCAACCTTTCTTCATTTGCTTATCTAGAATTTTGAATGATCTGTTTTTTACTGAATTGAAATGATATAAATTTTTGGCGCCCGAACAGGGACCGCCGATGTAGACTATATTGAAGTGAAAGATTTAGGAATGTTTGAAAATTAGCTCCTTTTGATTTGAGAAGTTTATTTATGATTTGAGAGTACTGATTTGTAATTTGAAATAATGTTTACTAAAATAGAAGAGTTAAAGAAAAGGCGAACTGTAATTAGGAGTTTGACAACAAAGTTGATAAATAATTGTAAAGAATACCTCCAAGAAACAGAACACGATTTGTGTATTCTTAATGAAAATATTGATTTATTAGATTCAAAATATAACAGCCTAAAAGAATTAGATAAACAAATACAAGAATTAATTGAGGCTACTGAATATGAATCGGAATTTGAAACTTGTGAAGTTTATTCCGAGAAAATAATTTCCATGAAATCAAAACTAACATTTATGTTAAAAGAGAATAGGAAACCTGAAATTCCTGTTTCGAATACAATTGGTAATATTGTGAATAATGATATTTCAAATATTTCTGTATCTCATTCAAAAATTAAATTGCCTAAATTATCGATCAATAAATTTAATGGCGATCCTGTTAATTGGTTATCATTTTGGAACCAGTTTGACAATGCGATACATCAGAATAGTGATTTAAATTTAACAGATACAGACAAATTTAATTATTTGATATCATTTTTATCAGGTGCTGCTTGTAATGCTGTTAGTGGTTTTGCATTATCAAGTGAAAATTATTTTGCCGCAATCGAGTTACTTAAAACACGCTTTGGTCGAACAGATTTAATTATAAATGCACATATGGGAAAACTGTTAAATTTAGAACCTGTTAGGAATGCTAACAACATATTTGCATTACGTAAGTTGTATGATGATATCGAAATACAGATAAGAAGTTTAAAATAAAATCACTTAATGTAACTTCTGGCACATATGGCACGTTATTGACACCAGTTTTATTAAAATTAATTCCGAATGAACTGAATCTTGATTTCCAAAGAAAAAGGAAATCGAAAGATAATTTCGATGTAAACGAATTATTAGAGTTCTTGAAAACGGAAATTGAGTGCCGCGAATCCATGCTACAAATTCAAGA